TTCACAACTATAACTTCATATATTTAATAGTTAAACTAATCATATGTTACAACTACCTCATCAATAATTTATGACTATCACATCAATATTTTAGAACTTTAACTTCAATATTTTTAAGGAACAATTGGTGAAAAGGACTTTGTGGAAAGGAAAATTAGTCCCAAGGACCAAATGCAATATTTTATTCATTAAAAAATATGTACAAATGACCAAAATACCCCTCTTTTTAAACCAATGAAATTGAAAAAAAAAATCTACCTATTCAACACATGCACCCCAAATTAAAATCCTTGCACCCTTAGTTAGAAGCCTTGCACTCCTAGCCAGGAGCCTTGCACCTTAGCTAGAAGCCTCATACCTAAGCTAGAATCCTCATACCCAAACTAAAACCCTTGCATCCCAAGTCAGAAGCCTTGCACCTAAGCCAAAAACCTTGCACCCCTAGCCAGAAGCCTTACACCCTACCATAAGCCTTGCACCCAAGCTAGAAGCCTTACACCCCAAGTCAGAAGTCTCGTACCCAAGCCAGAACTCTCGCATCTTAAGCCAGAATCATTGCACCTCAAGCTCTACCTTGGACCCAAGTTAGAAGCTTTGTACCCCAACCCAAAAGCCTTGCACCCCCTTCTAAAAGCCTTACATCTAAGTCAAAAGTTTTGCACCCTTAGCCAAAAGCCTTGCACCTTACCTAAAAGCCTTACACCCCAAACTAGAAGCCTTGCACCCCACCCAAAAGCCTTACACCCCATCCAGAAACCTTGCACCCCAAGTCAAAAGCCTCGCATCCTAGTTAAAACCTCACATCCAAGCTAGAGCCCTCATACCTTAAGCCAAAATCAGTGCACCCCAAACAAGAAGCCTTCCACCTAAGCTAGAAGTCTTGCATCCTAAGCCATAAGCCTCATACCCCAGCCCAAAAGTCTTGCACCCCAACCTAAAAGCCTTACAGCCCTTGCCAGAAGCTTTGCATCTAACTCAGAAGCCTTACAACCTTAGCTAGAAGCCTTGTACCTTTAGCTAGAAGCCTTACACCTAACTTAGAAGCCTTGCACCCAAGCCAGATGTCTTGCACCCCCACGTAAAAGCCTTACACCTCAAGCTAAAAGCCTTACTCCTAAGCTAGAAGCTAGAAGGTTTGTGGTGAAAGGCTTCTGGTTAGGGTGCAAGGTTTTTAGCTTGTGTGAAAGGCTTCTGCATTGGGTGCACAACTTATGGCTGGGATGCATAGCTTTTGGGTAGAGTGTATGGCTTCTAGATAGGGTGCAAGGCTTATGGGTTGTGTGCAAGGCTTATGATTTGGGTGCAAGGCTTTTGGCTTAGGGTGCAAGGCTTCTAGATTGGGGTGCAAGGCTTCTGATTAGGGTGTAAGGCTTCTGAGTTAGGTGCAAGGCTTCTGGGTTGGGTAAAAGGCTTCCGGCTTGGGGTACAAGGCTTCTAGATGGGATGCAAGGCTTCTAAGTTGGGTGCAAGAGTTCTGGCTTGAGTGTAAGGATTCTAGCTTCGGGTGCATGTGTTGAACAGGCAGCCTTTATTTTTTTTTCAATTTCATTAGTTTAAGGAGAGGGGTATTTTGGTCATTTATACATATGACACATTATGGGTTTGTAATTCTAGTTGAAATTCATCTCCATTTGTAATGAGAATTCTTGTCTTGGAATTACTCTTTTGACGAACCCATGCCACTCTTCTAATCAATGAATGAATGCATAGTTGAGTACTTGTCTCATTAATTGTCTTGGATTTTCATTACATAGTTGTGTATATTGAATATTTGGCTAGATTAGGTAGGGTTTGCATAGTTTTATAACCTTACTAAATCACCTAATTGTCACAGCTCATTCAAGGGAAAATAACAAGACACTTTGGCAAATCTAGAGTCAATTAGGGAATTGAAATAAGACCATTAGTTAATGGATTAGGGAAATGAATTAGTTGGGCTCTCTAGGTTAGTTAACTTAGATAATCTTTCGGCCATTAAGGGGAATCAATAAAAGCTCAATAGTAATTGAAGAGAATGATTCTTTCACACATCCAAACTCTAGGGTTCTACATTCATACATAAAGAAACTTATCATATTACTCGCTTTAGTTAGTACTTGTAGTTTAGCTTTTGCCACTTAGTTGAATCAATCCACTTGGTAACTTGTAACACTTTAAATAATCTCATAATCAATCCACTAGGTTGTGCCCTTTTCTACATTTAAGGTAAACTTAGTATTTCATTTTGTAAGCAAAGTGACATTGCTTGTCACGTGTACGTAATTTCTCCTAAAATAAATGTTACAATTCATCCTTCTTATTACACAATAAAAACGCAATACAAGATAACTTTTTATTTTGTAACTCGGCAGAGTAGTTCTTCTACATACTATAATTTAATTAAAGGACTTGAAAGTAAATATCTAAAACATGCTGTGTCTTGGGTTTGTTCGGTAAGAAATACTTCCCAGGTTACCATAGCAACAATATGTTATACCTTTAAGATGAGTGGTCTAACCTTCTTGAAGTCTGAGATTTCTCATGGCAAAAGTGGAGGAATCGCGTTGTGAACATAACTTGCTTTACCCATTTCCCAAGTGTATGAAGCATGCATTTAAATTGGTCTTTTGCTGACAGTGTACTAAAAACTAGACCGATTATTGAACCAATCAAGACATTAATTCCAACGTTAGTAGTCAAAATTGTAGTTGAACCTTGATCAAATTGAACATAAATAAAGCATTTTAGTAAACCAGTCAAGATATTGGTTTAATGATTTATTAGTTCAACTAGGTAGGTTGACCCAGATTTTTATACTATGTATGTTGATAAGGAAAGTGAAAACAAAAAATTAAAAAAAAACCATCCAAATGAATCAACTAGTGGAAAAGCTTTTGCATTTGTTCATCTTTTCTAAGTAAGTGAGGAAATGCTCCCACTTATACGCTCATTGTGTTTAGCTTCTAAGTTTGGGGAAACTGCTAAAATTGCAATTATCCTTGTTTGCTTTTGTTGTGTGTGGATTTATGTGAAGTATAATATGAAAATCTAGTTAAGCCAATCAGCTATTAAACTGGTATCTTAATCGATTTGATAAAGTGCTTTGTTTATGACCAGTTTGATAATGATTCGATTGCGTTTTGACTATTCATTGTTGAACTGATGCCTTGACTGCTTCAATGATTGGTTCGGCTTTCAATATCTTCTGTGAAGCTATTGATGTTAGAGAGAAAGTCACAAACTCTTGATAAAGGGTTTTGAAGACATTGTTTGATTGCTACGAAGTTGAACCAAGTTCAACCACATTTCACACAATAAATTCTGTAATGAATGATTTGCTTAAGCATCTTGATTTGAAGAAGCTACAGGTAGATTGGACATTACATTATAAATTTTCTTGTTTGAAATTTGACTTTGAAATCATAGGAAGTATCAACAGTATATCATGAATAACAATTTTCCCTTGGAAAAATAACAATTTTCCTTAGTGAGGGAGATAGGTTTTTGAATATATGAATATATGAATCCCCATAAAGCCTACAAAATTGGCATGCTTCATGTTGAATTGCTGATTTATATTGGGTTTGGGCTTTCTTCCTATGGAAAAATCTTTAAAATTGAAGCCCATTATGAGTCTCACTAAGGTGGAGAGGAGCTAGCTTATATTTGGTTATGAGATAAACGTGATATTCAGGATTGAAATGTAGTCATTTGAGAGATAAGAAAAGATAGCTATTTTCTTATATTCACAAAGCAATCTTGGTCAATATATATTTGCAAATTCATTAACTGTTGAATTACGCTAAAATTTGGCCAACTAATTCAAAACATTCAATGTGCTATTTTCAACAATGGGATCATTGACTCATTTCCTAGTGTGAGAATTATTCTATTAGCACTACAACCTCTAGTTTTATTCTTTTTCATCTTCATCCTCTTTTGTAAGCTTGTTATTTTGGTGCTTTGATTGATTGTTTGCACTTATTTGGTCTAAATGACCAATGATTTTTACTCTTGCATTGATAACTTTTCTACGTTAATAATTTATAGTATTTATTATTGATTTGTACTATTTATTCTACTGTCATAAATTTGTTTATTTGCTCTTGAGATTATTGCAAGTGATGAGCATTTAGTTCCACTGTCCATAAATTATTGGGTTATATATTTCTTATCAATTTATGCTAGAAGCTCTCATGAATATAAGGTCACATGTTCAATATCATTCGTAATCTCAAACTGTTAAATGTCTCTCCCTTTCATTCTCTAAAAGAAAAAGAAAAGAAAAAAGAGGAATCCCTCGAAGACGAGGAGATCGGCATGCTTCATGTTGAATTGCTGATTTATGAGGCATAAATCTCCCCATCCTTATTTATCTACACGATTGTTTGAACTTCCGAACAGATTTTATTTTAAAGCAAGTTCGAATTGAAAAGAATATTGAAAGAGAGTGCAGAGAAGTGAACTTTAAAATCTTGACATTTTATTCATAATAAGCTAGCTTTCCCCTCTCTTCCATTATCTTCTCTTAGTGAATTTAGTTGCAGATGAAAATCAACATCAACAATGATGAGCATCTTTATGTATAACTAATAACGAAACGAATAGAAAACTGCTTATCTACAACATGCAGGAGAAATATAAAAAAGCCCTCAAAGGCGATTGCTAGAAGCATGAAGAAATTTCAGATGCTTATCGTCCCTTGTACAACGTACATACATCTTTTCTTTAGTTCTTCTCATTTTCATTTCTTCTTACCTTTTGATCTCGGAAACCACAGCTTGAAACACTTGAAATTCTCTGTAAATAGATACATGAAAGCCAGACACTGAAAAATAAAATATCTAAAACTGAAAATCCTATTAATAATAAATGCTGATTCAAGTGATTTTTTTTAATTTTGTTTTAGGGAAACTAGGTACCGACACTGCTCCAGAATAGCATTACCTAATAACCTTCGATCTCCAACCAGGACAGTAACTTCCAATAAAATAAACACGGGAAAGGCAATATCAACATGATTGAACAGAAGCAAATATTTATCATGCGCTAGCAGAAGAAACACTGTTTAGCATTATTAAGTTCAAATCCTCACTTCAGATTTGTTACAGAGAAGCAAATGGGAAGTTCAGGACAGATTTGTGCAGACTTTATCCTCTCCATTAATTGGTTGCAAAGTCACCCCATATGCAACGGTGTTGTCCATGTTCTATAAAACAAGCAGCTATAAGCTTATGGGTCAACCCACAATTATTATTAGTTTCATTATATATGCTTCTCAGGCTATTATCATAACCTCTTGCCAAAAATGCTTTTGAAGAATCGTGAATCTTCTCCTGTAGTTAGTCAAGCAGCACAAATATCCAAAAAGAATTCCAGCAATTCATCAACTTGAACAACCAATTACCAGTAGTATATCAAGATGACTTTTTATTCCAAAGATATTATAACCTTAGACTCTCAATGTCCCAAAAATTCCTCTCAAATACTTCATGGCCATTCTTTTCAGTTACAGAAATCTGTAGGTGAAACAAATTCGTCAAATCTTGCAAGACACCAATCTGTAAGTGGTGGATGTCTGAAAACATTAACAGTCACAATGTCAACAAATCCCACACCAGTGTCCAAGCAACACTAGCGCCTAGGCATGTATTAGCCTGATGCATTCAGTGAAATACCACAACGATGACACTTCAGCCTGTTCTATAATGTCAATCCAATTACAACAACCTCATCTCATTTGCAACCATGCAGTGGATGCATCCCATCAGATATGTAGATAGTGCCCGCAAGGGCAATACTTTCTTACAAGAAATGGAGAAAAGCAGTAAATGGCCTTTAATCACTGACAAACTTGTGGTGCAAACTTTAAATAGGGAGATTTCACTAACTTAATCACTGACAAACTTACCCAGGTGCCTCTTCTAAATCTTCTTTTCTTTCTTTATCTCCATCTAATTGAAAATGACGAATCCCAAGAGTCTTATAATCCCATATCATTTGAGATATTTCATCTTGAGGAAGACTCAAACCTTCTTGTTTAATGGACCTGAGCAAGTCAAAAAAGGCCTTCGGATTATCAAGTTTTATATATTCATGTAACACCTGCTCATGCTCTGGGATCCAGTTCCTTGGGAATGGAGTGTAATCACAAGAAGGAATTAGTGACATCTGTGAAAACTGAACACCTTCAATTGCATCCACCAGCCCCATCCTCAAAAGGTCAGAATATTCAGGAGCAGAATTGTTACTACTCCCTCTCAAAGGTTGACTAAGATTCCGTGAAGCTATTCCATACACCTTGGCGCGAGACTTTAGCCTATACCTAGCAGCATACAACTTAGCCAATGAGCTACGAATTACATACGCACAAAACCCAACAACTTTCTTACGGTTGTCAGCATATCTATACCAATCGGCTATGGTCTCAAGAAATTTATTCATCTGGGAGTTCGTATGAGCTTGACTTGAATACAACATAGGAGTACATGGCAATGGTTCAGGGTCTTTATCTCCCTTTACCAACTCAAGCCTCCGAAACTGGCGAATGCATTGTTGCAAACTAGCAGTCACTGAAAGCAAAGTCCCCACGCCCTTTTCACTCACTATATTGCCTCCAGAAGATGTGTAACGTAAGGTAGGATGTATCACCCTTCGACATATTATATGGTCCAAGAATTGTATTCCCCTCGTTATATGTTCGATCTCCACCTTTGAATTATCCAACCGTATCCCAAACACATCCTCAGAAAATTTAATAACTTCCTTCCTAATTTCTATGGCATCCTCCCTAGGACCTCGGATCCCAATTAGAAAATAACCTCCATATCTTATGTAATCCATCTTCCGAGTTTTTTCTTTGCCACTAGATGGAACAAACTCCGGCCAAGCAGGATTATGACAGCTATCATCAATTGAATATTTCCATATTGAATCAGACTTGCACGGTCTGAAAAACTCAATTATTAATCCTTCCATCATATGATCCAATTCATTAAGGCAAATATTAGCAATTAAAGGACTTAAAATTCCACAATGACCAAAAGAGGGTACCTTAGCAGCCTCTTCCGGAGCAAAATTGTAGAATGTCCTTAACCAATATGGGTCTGGCTTTGGCTCATTCTCATTGAGAATCTTCTTCTTGGTACCTTTCCTTTTCTTATCCTTCTTCGACTCTTCAGTTTCATCATGTGACTCACATCTCACTGGCTCTCTAAGTGCAGATTTGATCAAACCCAATACTTTTCTATCCTTAATGGCCTTTTCAAGACAACCCATTATTACATTTCTATCCACATTTTCCAAAATCTCACTCAAATTACCCTTCAAAAACCATAAATAACCTGCAAAATTACTCCGAATTGTGCGAATAACTGTGTGCGCACTTCGGCCAGGTCGAAAAGCATGTGACTTTGGAGAAAACCGAGATTCAAAAATAGGCTCTAAAATAAAAAACAACACCTCTTGGACGACCCTGTCCTGAAAACAAGGTTCACTGGACTCTAGAATTGCTTGAAGCTTGCGCTTAGACAAGGGCCTCATTAGAGGCTTGTCATTAGGGCTGCGAATGAATTGTTGGGTCTTCCTGTTCCATGCAAACTGTCCATGAACAACGGCATTCCGAAGAGAAAGCAGGTCCCTTAGAACATGAGAATGAATAGCATTTCGGGGAGGAAAGGTACCTGTCACATGGGCACAACATCGCTGGTAGGCCAAAACCCAAAGGTCGAATTTGGAGAGGAAGCCACTGAGGTTAGGGAAGGTAGTGTCTGGCAGGGAGGAGAAGGTTTTGACCCACAATGAGCTGCATATATCAATGGGATCTTCTTTGAGCAAAGAGTAAGGGTCCTGGTCTTTGTGTTCATGGCAGTTTGGGAGTTGGATTTGGTTCAAAGTTTTCAGAGATGGCTGTTGCAGTGAACCGGTGGAAAGAGAAGAAACAAAGGGAATTGAAGAAAGAGTTTTGAGAAAAGAATAACAAGGGCACTGAAGGTGTTTGATGGCTTTCCTTGGTAACATTTCTTAGGTTTGGCATTTTGGGACTTGGCGGGTCATATTATGCCATGCCATGCGGTTGTGCCCTACTTATCTGTACAAACCCTGCTCTTCATCACATGCTATGTCACCCTACTCTGCAGACCAAAAATTGAAAATCCATGAATAATAACAATAAGTATTTTTTAGATATGATAGTCTTATGGAGAAATTATTCAGTAGAGTTTTTGATAACCTAGTCATAGATTTCTTGAACTTCCATAATAATAGAGAAATTCAAACTAATAATATAGAAATAAGCTTAAACCATTTCCATAACCATGAATAGTGTGGCTTTCAGTTCCTCGACCTCATACAATACATGATGTATAAGATTTAGTTGGAAAAGAATGATTTGGACATGATTTTGAATAATAACCATCGATCAAACTCTAACAAGTATTTAGCAAAACAGGAATAATGAGAGTGCAATGACATTGACATGAAATTCAATGTTTAATCAGCCAAGGAAGGATAATTCTAGCTTTCTAAGCGTTCATAAAATGTAAATCATACTTGAGAATGTTCTAGTTATTTACAAGTGATGGTAAAACTGTTGTTAGAATAATCACAATTAGATTTCAACTATTGTAAATCCAACTAGCAATATAGACTGTGTGAGACTGCCCAGCAGAGTCCTGAGCAACTCACAAGAATTTGACACGTGTGAATGTCGTGGTCGTGCATCTTCTTGTGACATTTATATTATATCCAAATCCCATGGATCTGTGTCTCCTATTTTATAGGAAAGTCAAAAGGCTATAGCCATCATTTCAACTCAATAACTTGTAAGGTTTAATCTTTAAAATCAAATTTGCCATGCAGAATATATTCTTTTTCCCCCCTTTTTATTCCAATAAAATATTGATTTTCTTCCGGATTTTTATTTAGTACTTAAATATTTTTGACATCCATTAATAAAATAATCATGATTTCATATGTAATTTAAATAAATTTTATGCCATTAAAAGTATAATATTTAATTTCCACTTATTTAGGGGTGGGAGTAGGCTAGTACCATGTCAGGTGGCCTATGGCCCAGCCTGATTGGGGCCTAGCCTGGATATAAAACCTCTTTAAAGGCCTATTTACCTAAACAGGAAGTTTTTAAAGCCTGGCATGTAAGCCCGCATAATAATATAGCAAACAAAGAAGAGATGAAGAATGAAAATACAAAGGGAAAAGGGGGTCTTACTGCAGGTAATGAACCACAGCAATAATGAAATACAATTAAGGGCAGAGCTGAGCTTCGCAGCTGACAGGGAAAGAAGAGTGCCCACACCTGGAAGCTGTTGCAGTTTTGTCACCAGAAGCCATAAGCATGATGAGCACAATGGAAGGAGAACAGGGATAGAGAAACCACAAGCACAACAGAAGCCAGAAGGACTGAGAGCAACAATTCTTCAAATTTCACAGAACTGAAGGACCGTAATGGTGACCAAGGATGATGACTTACAGATCTGGAATAAAAGTTTGAAGGAGAAGAAGCTTTGATCAAAGGAGGTCTATGAAATGGCGTTTGAAGAAGAGCACGTGGCCACGACGTCACTCACTGCATGAGACATTCAGACTTAAAGCCAGGCTAGACCAGGACAAAAAGAAATTATAGGACAAAATAGTAATAAAATGAAATAAATTAAATATAATAAAATATATAAATATACTTAAACAGGCTAGGCCTGATACTTTAGGCCAAGCTTTAAAAAATCAAGCCTCACCTGTTTCGAAAAATAGGCCTCCAAAGAGGCTTTAGACTTAGGGATGAGAATAAACCACGCAAGTCCAAACTTTGACCAAACAAGCTTGAGCCTGTAACAGAGGCCTCAAGCCAGAGCTTGCACATAGGTTTTTTTTTTTTTTTCAAGGCTCAAGGCTGAGCCAATGATAGGCCTAGCCTAGCTTAAAGCCTTTTTAAAAGGCCTACTTCATATGTAGGCCTTTAAAAAAGCTAATGAATTTAGGCCAAAACGGCTTTAAGTAAGCTTCGAGCCTACTTTGAGTAAGCTTCAAAGCCTACATATTTTAGATTCTGAATAGACTTTGATGCTATTTAAAGCCTACATGTAATTAAAATTAAAATGAAATTAAAACCTGTGATAAATCCAAATAAAAATTATTCTAAAGAATTTCATCTAAAAACTGAGCCTTCAAAGTCCAGACAATCAGCACACTAATAATAGAATATAGAACAATACAACACAACATAATGACATCACCAATGAATGCAACAACGCAACACAATACAACTAACAAAATAAAAATCAACAGCAAGACATTGCTAGCACTAAAGGACAGCAACACCAATCAAGACTTCAATATAATCTCCTCCTGGTCAAATGGTCTTACACAATTAAAGAATGAATTGAAAATTCTAGTTACCTTGACTGACCTCTCTCAAGCCATACAAATCTATAGTTTAGTCCATATTCTTTATAATTAATCAAGTTCCACAAGGAAAGAAACTAGAACTAGGTTCAGATTGATAAAATCCACTTGTAGACAGTAATAAATTCACCTCCTCTGCTGCTGCACATCCAAAATCCAGGCCTGTGAAAGTTTAATTGGAAAACTTTTTCTCATCACTAGAAATATATACACCAAGAATATCCTAAAACAACCAGAATAATCATAAACACAGAACTTCTAAATTATAATCTACAAGACCAGGCAATCAACTGAGTGAACTCGGCAACTAATTCTCCAAAATGAAAATTATAAAACATGTTCGCCTAAAAAGAACCAAACTAATAGCACCCAAAAAGACAAGCCTCTCATATGATACTGGTAACATGTTTAAATAACAGCAAAAATTCACGATTTTAGAAGCGCCGCTGAGCACTATAAGTAAAATTTAATAACCATGGCTGGAAAGTTTTGTTTTTTATTCAAGACTAGTTCTAGTTCTCGTCAATTATCTAAATCCATGACAGAGAGATCCCTGAGGAACTCCTCAAGCACACCTGCAAAATACTATCACTAGCAGGTTTATAATTGAGTAGAAATGGGGACTGAGAAGGACCAAACTGAGCACAAGCGATCGACGGTGAGCACTCGAGGAAAGCCTGAACGAGAGCTAAGCAACAAGCCAACAACCAAGAGCAGAGCCCGACTTCGCAAGCTGAGTTTGGGCACCGCGGAGAAGATGAAGGAGAAGGTCTGCGCTCGACTGATTGGCGACGGAGGAGAGCACGACTTCACGAGCACAGCACCAAGGGTCGACTGATCGAAGATTGAAGAAGAAGACCTGAGATGGGGATGGGGCTGCCACGGTGAGGGCCAGCGAGGCGAAGCGTGACTGGCTTGAACGGAATCAGCCAACCTGGGTAGGATCTGGGAACGAAAACAGTAGGAAAAAAAAAAACAGTAAAAAAATAAATAAATAAATAAATAAATAAATATATATATATATATATTGCTTTCATTTTAAACTATAAAATACTTTAAAAAAATTTATTTGAAAATAAAAAATATTTTAAATAAATTAAATTTTTTTAAATATATTAATTTTAATATTATTTTTTTTCTCTTTATCATTAATTTTTATTTTTTTAATATATTAAATGATGAATGATTTTAAAAATTTATATTTTAATTTTAAAAAAATAAAATTATTAAATATATTTAATAAAATTTATTAATATATAAATTTTTTAAAAAAATATTTTATAATTTAAAATAAAAAGAGTAATATATCATTACATCAAAACTGACCTACAACTTTGCCAAATCAAGGCTTAGCTAATTTAGACATATATATAAACACACACACACACACGAATGCGCACATATATGAGCCCCTGCAAGAGGCTTTCAAGCCTGTACATGCAAGGCATAAGCTGTCAGGGCTAATATAAAAATCAAATAGGATCTAGAATAATAAATTAATAATAATTAAATTTTTAATAAAATTTTTTATAAAATAAATTATGAATATTAGTTGAAACAATTATAAATAAAATTTTATGTCTGATATTTTTAATTAATTTTTTTAAAAAAATTATTAAAGACTTAACTATCATTAAAGTTTTTAATCTAACTATCATTTTTCCTAATATATTATCACCACTATTTGTTTATTTACAAGCATATTTCTTTCATATTTTGTTACTTTTTTATTTTGCCAAAGTAGGGAAAAAAACTAAAAAATATTATGTATAATTATTTTAATAAAATAGATAATTCTTCAACAATCTATTTCACCACTTTGTGTATGCTTTTCATAATAATGATTCAAGCATATTTTTTTTATCATTTTTTGTTTTCAAAACTAGTTTTAACAAACCCACAATTACTAATCAAGAAGAATTTAATTTATAACTCATAAAATAAAGATCAAATCCCACTCCTAATATGCCATCTCATTGGTGGGCAATTTTTAAGTGTTCTTTAAATTTAGAAGTAGTCATCATGACCTAACTTAAAATTTTTATTGTCCAAAAAACTAGTTTTGAAAATTACTCTACGAAATTATTTAAAAAAATAGATATCGGAATCAAAAAGCCTGGTGTCTATTTTCAAAACAGTTTTTTGTTATTTCCAACACTGTTCTTGTTTGTTTGTTTTTAAAAACAAAAAAGTATAAGAGCCTGTTTGTTTACTATTCTTAAAAATTATTTTTTTATTTTAATGATTTTTTAATTTTTGTTTTGAAAACAGCTTTAAATTTTTTTGTTTTTAAATACAAGAAAATGAAACCAAAACAATTTTTGGCTATTTCTGTTTCTTTTCTTTTCTTTTTTTTTTAACAGAGAAAAAGCAGGAAACAAGAAATGAGAATTATCCTTGTTAATGGCAAACGTTGTATTCTTGCCCCGATAAAAAAGAATCACGCATCTTATAAATTTATAAAACTATTTTTGGATTACTATTACCAAACAAGTTCTTTTTGTTCTCAAAAACAGTTTTTAAAATTGTTTTACAAAACAACTTTTGAAAACAAAAAATAAAACAACAACTAAACAAGCCTTTAATATCTCAAAGCTATTTTCATTTTATTTTTTATTTTCAAAATACATTATATTTAATTATTAAAAATTACATTTACTTTGACTAATAATTATCATAAGCCACAACCATTAACTATCCATAACCATCACTATCAATCAATTTATTAATTATAAAATTGTTTTTAAATTAATACAAACAAACAGATTTTTTTTTACTTTGTTTTGAAAATTAATTTTAAAAAATACATTGTAAAAAAGTTTTTAAAAACAAAAATTACAAATAGAAACCAAACAGGTCCAATAATCATGGGCTTGTCTTGCTTCCACCATCAGTTTCATCCGTTTGAATACAAGATAATTTGTTTCAAATCTCGGCTAGAAAAGAAAAAAAAAAGAAAAAAAAATGTTACTGCCGATTATCCTTGAAATTAAAGAGTGCAGACTTTCTTTAAAAAAAAAAAAAAGCAGTGTAGAATCTTAGCCCTAGCTGAACAAATGCTTACAGAGATACACATATAAAAGTTAATGGATATTATGAGCAAACCTGGGTATAACTCAACCCAAAGAACCTAGTCCACTTAAAAACTGTAGCTAGGAGTTTGAAAAATGTTGCCTATATGTTTAGGCAATATTTTTAAACTGTTGCCTCTACTGGCACAGCCAACTATTGCTTATAAGCTCAAATAAGCTGAAATTGTTGCCTATAACTGCTTACAATTCACAAATGTTGCTTAAAATGTTGCCTATATATTTAGGCAACATTTTTGAACTGTTGCCTATACTAACATAATCAAAAGTCTATGGCAACAGTTTACTCAATCTATGGCCACATTTCTTAAAATTCGTTGCCTATAATGTGAAAATAAGCTATGGTTATGATCAAAGTATAAATTACAATTTTAAAATGTTGCTTAAAATTGTTACAATTCACAACTGTAATTAAAGCTCAAATAAGCAATAGTTTTAAATTGTAAGTGTGATCATATATAGAGTACAATTGAGAACTTTTGCTTAAAGAAATATCAATCACAACAATTTCTAAATGTAGTCTGACTTTGTCAAATGTAAGAAGATCAATTTCCATGATAAATAAATTATATATCTAACAATTACATAATTCAAGAAGCATTATGAAATGATATTGTAATATATTCAATAATTGTAGTTACAGAGACTTTTGAGCATGAATCCATAGGTACACAAAAGCCAAGAAAGACAACTTGATTCGTTCAAATAGATATAACAAGGTTAGTATGATCACAATAAAAAAAATACGATGAAAACAAGTCTCTATATATCAAAATAAATGGAACTCTTCTTTGATATCTCTTCAACCATCTTGAAGGAGCTCCTCATTTGAATCTCTTTCATTAGAATCACCTTCCTGCATAGAAAATAAAATAAAATTTTATATCAAATAAAAATCATGCCTCATGATATAGAAAAAATTAAGCTTAGATAACAAATACCCAAATAAATTTTGTATCAATTACAGCACAATCCAATCAATATGTTCAACCTTTGACCAAAGGAAATAGCTCATATTTACCAAAAAGGATTTAATAGTTTCAATTTCAAGTAGGAAGAACAAGGGTGTTCAAATAGCTCATATCAATTACAGAATTATAGTGTTACATAGTTTCTATAATTATTATGAATAAGGAGGGATGATTACGATTACAAATACAATCACAATTAATTTGGAATAGTGGAGCATAGCATTGTAGGCACATGAAAAATATCAAAGAAAGATGAGATAAGAAGTGAGTCTAAAGATGAGTAATTGAATACCTATAAACCTTGAAGAAAGGAAATTGTAGAGATACAAAAAAACATTTAACAATGAGAGTTCAAGCTCTGTTAAGTCAATACAATATGAAGATTAAAGTGATACGCTCAAGATAATTTAAAAAAATATCAAAAATTCTCCAAAGCCACATCAATATTTACAGGAGAATTCAAATTTTGAATAGTAATCACAGTATTATGAAGACAAGACAAATGGATATTGTCGCACCCAAAAAAAAATGCGACGCGGATGGCGCGCAAGCGGAGGTCCTGGCCTTCGTGGCGGGAATCAAACGGAACGAGGAGTCGCCACCAATATTTTGAGATAAATCTCAAAAAATTGTTTAATGAAGGATAAGGGTAGTCTGCGAAATCAGAGAATAGGTTTGGGAGTCGGTTGAGTGTGGGGAAGGTGTTAGGCACTTCGCAATACCCGTTCATCAGAACAGTTACCTGAAGTTTGTTGTGCTCTATTAATATGGTTTATAATTATTTTAATTATCCCTTTTATATTCATGTGTTTGATAAAAATGATAAGAATTATGTGAGAAATGTTTATTTATTTACAAGGGAGGACGAGCTCGACTTAGAATTTGACTCTGAGACCTACGTACTCTGTGATGGGGATTAAAGTTCATGTAGTTCGGGCTTAAAAGTTTGTTAGCAAAAATATTTTTTTTGAAGAGAAATTAATTAGAAATAATTCATCATTTTGCAAATAAAATAATTTCTAAAATTTTAATATGTGTGTTTTAAATTACAAAAGGTAATATAATTTTAACTATTTTCTCCATTTTTGAATTTTTGGAATAAAGAAAGGAAATGGTTTAAAATTATTTTTCTTTATGTTTTATGATTGAAAATTTTAATCGCAGTATCTACAGAACCTTATTGATTTATAAGGTAATACAATTACTCTAAATATCTGCGGAGATTCTAAAATTTCACACCATAAAAGAGTTTGGTAATTTAATTTATTTATTTTTATGTGTTAATAATAGTTTGCTTAAGTATGTATATTATGATTTATAGGCTCTTAATTATCATACCTGCAAAGTCTTATTAACTTATACGATAATATGATTTATCCTAAATATTTGTGGAGATTCTAAAATCTCACACGATAAAGAAATTAAATTTATTTAAATACATCCTTAATTTGATTAATTTAATATATAATATATATATATATATATTAAAAATTTAATCGTTATATCTGTAGAGTCTTATTGACTCATACGACAATACGATTATCTTAAAAGTCTACAGAGATTCAAAAATCTCACGTGACTAAAAGATATAATTGGTAAATATGATTACAATTTAAATACGTTAATTTAATTAATTAATTTTTCTAAATTATGTATTATATCATTATTTATAAAAATTATTTATTTATTATAAAAATTGATAATCAATACATTTGTGAGAACTTATTATCCCCACGATGGTGTGATTAATTTAAGTCTCTATAAAAATTCTTGAAATCTCGCATGAGACTTAAATAAATTATTAATTTGGAGAAGGAGAGTTAATTTTAATATATAAGTTTTGCTCTCATATCTGTGAAATCTTATTGATTT